GCACATTATTCTGACACTGGAGCAGAATTACGCATGGAGTAAGGCCATGGCCAAAACACAAAGGAACTAGAAGGGAAGAGGCAGAGAATTGGGGTGAGTGCAAAGAAAAATACATTGATGAGAGGATTTGGCCAAAAAAAGACAGGAGAGAATCAAATAACCTGGATGTCTGAAGAAAGGAAAGCAATCATGAGGTAAAGTGCCTCATCATAAGTCCTCAGGATACCTCAAATCAAATTGTATTTATATAGCACATTTTTAAACGATTTTTGGTCGAGCCAAAGTGCTGTACATATAATAAAAATAGCCTATAGAGACACTTTACAGCAAATACAACAGCACAGATTGTTCAGAATATCAGTATGAGAAAAACGACACCCTACCTGAGATGAAGTGTGTGTGTGTGTGTGTGTGTGTGTGTGTGTGTGTGTGTGTGTGTGTGTGTGTGTGTGTGTGTGTGTGTGTGTGTGTGTGTGTGTGTGTGTGTGTGTGTGTGTGTGTGTTCACCAGATCGTTCTGAGTGCTTCAAAAACCAGATTGAAACTTCCAAACTGATGCAATGTCTGCGGTGCTCTCAGGTCCCTGCAAGTTATACATTACTGGCAAGCTGAATTGTCATCAAACAAGCTATTTGTTTTATTGTAAAAAAATAAATAGAGAGTTTGTATTATATGACAAATATAAATTGAATATTCTACAGAGGTAGAAACAAACAAAATCAAGCTCTTCGATACTGACTGGAGAAAGAGAAGATATTACCAAAAAAGGAATTTCTTTTAACCATAAATATTTGTCAACCCATGAAAGTGGCTGGACCGTGAATGCCCGATGTAAATGATCCACATCATTTCCACTGCATCAAACATTCAGTGTCCCCCAGGGATGAACATGTTGTTTAGAATAAAGTGACCAGTCGGAGAAACGTTGCATTGACTCATATCAACACCTCCGTATGGTGGGTCAAATGTGACACTGTTGCAAAAAGAGGATATTCTTAGCCTTCCAATGATATCCTTATTGTTGTTGTTCTTAAAATATTCAGCAAAATATGTCACAAAATGCAATGACTGTTACCAAGACAAGATTTTAAGAGAAAGGCCTTAAACGTTTGCTGACAATTTTGTATCCAGTATTTAAAGAGGAGGATCCAGGCTTTTTTGTTTTGTAATGCCTCAGTAGTTAAGTTGCTCTGCTCACCACTCGTTAACGTTGTATTAATCATCTGAATTTGGGAATAATATTGTTATATTCTAAAAGCAAAGTAGTTTTATTTATTTTATTTTTTTAAGGTTAAATGGAAACCCCGCCCCAGACCCTGCCGTTTTAATTAGAGCCTGTCATCCATTATTTCAGGGAGGCGTTTGGAGCAAGGTGATCAGACTGAGAGGAGAAGGTGAACTCTGAAGGGGACACCTTGTCTTTCACAGCTTCAAACATGCAATCATCGTCTGAACAAGACAAATTGTTATTCGTAAAGCAATTTGATTAAAATCAACGAAAACCCTAAAATGACCAAAACACAGAAAGTTTGTGACATAAATCCACGTCTATCTAGGGATGAGCTGTTGCGATCCGACTGATTCTGATAAAGCGGAACTCTTTGTGCCAATGACGCGCAACGACTTCCCAAGAAAATGGCAGCTTCAGTGATTTGCTCAATAAAAACATATGTTTATGTTCAAATCGCTAACCTTGTTATTGTTGTTCCAGAACCTACCTTTCCAAAGCCATATCGGAATATTTTTTTGGAGTTGACTGTTACCAAATTCTCTTCACCAAAGTTAGGGTTAGGGTTTTCCTTCTGTGATGTCCATTTCATAAACTCGATGAGACTGGCTTGGAACTGCTCCCTCCTCCAACCTCTTTGAAACTTTTATCTGTCTATTTCACGCCTTTCACCCTTAATTAAGATCTTATTAGCAAAGGACCAATTCTAAAATCCTCAAGCTGAATTTATATAATATTAAAGGGGACCTATCATGCAAAATGCACTTTGTGATGTCTTTTATACATACATATGTGTCCCCGGTGTGTCAGGGAACTCACGCAGCGTCAGAAAATAAAACCCTCTCTCTTTTCCTCCGTACCCAAATCTTTTAAAAACGGGTGTACAACGAGCGGATACAGATTCCATCCGAACTGACGTCAAATCGGCGGCGGACCCACAGAAAGTTGCTATCAGAAACAATGCCTGACGTGTTTTGGACGTAATCTCATCTTTGTTTACATCAGCAAGCCTGGCTAACACTCAGAACTAACCTGTACTGGAGAGCACATGTGTTTAAAAAGCAGGAAATAAAAAAATAACTTACATTGTAATAAACCTGCAAGAGAAAAATCATTTGAGCTCCATACTGTTTCAGAAATAATCCTTGATGTGGTTTAGAACAGGATGGCGTTTTATCACAGCAGAATTTAACTTTATCTCCGGTAGAATTCTGATCAGGCATTAGCTCCGCCTCCTCTTCTTTCTTTTTTTCAAGTTAAGGACCCAAGATCCACGTTTTTCTAACAGGGCTGCAAAAGAGGGGTATGAGCAGTATGAGGCATGGCTACAATGGGTGATCTGTTTGGTATTTTGAAAAAAAAACTTCACAGACATGTTTTGTATAGGTATGGCCCTACAATATATGTTTCAAATATAGCATGATAGGTCCACTTTAAGTAAAGTTTTGTTCTTGCTCATGTTCTTTAAAAATATGGGTTAGGGTTAGCACATGATTCTGATCCTGGAGCAGCAATGACGCATGGAGTAAGGCCATGGCCAAAACACAAAGGAACTAGAAGGGAAGAGGCAGATAATTGAGGTGAGTGCAATGAAAAATACATTGATGAGAGGATTTGGCCAAAAAAAGACCTGAGAGAACAAATAACCTGGATGCCTGAAGAAAGGAAAGCAATCATGAGGTAAAGTGCCTCATCATAAGTCCTCAGGATACCTGAGATGAAGTGTGTGTGTGTACAAAATGTCCTAATATGATATTTTTGGTATTACTCCATTTTCAAAAACAGGTTTGTTGCTTAAAATATCCCACCATGTCTTTGAGGATGAAAGAGACGGAGATGAAGAAATATCAGAGAAATATGAAAAGCCTTGTGTGATAGCTCGACCTATCTCACATAAAAGGCCTCTAACATTAGCAGAGGGGTGTGTGTGTGTGTGTGTGTGTGTGTGTGTGTGTGTGTGTGTGTGTGTGTGTGTGTGTGTGTGTGTGTGTGTGTGTGTGTGTGTGTGTGTGTGTGTGTGTGTGTGTGTGTGTGTGTGTGTTCACCAGATCGTTCTGAGTGCTTCAAAAACCAGATTGAAACTTACAAACTGATGCAATGTCTGCGGTGCTCTCAGGTCCCTGCAAGTTTACTGGCATCCTGAATTGTCATCAAACAAGCTATTTGTTTTATTGTAAAAAAAAATAGAGAGTTTGAATTATATGACAAATATAAATTGAATATTCTACAGAGGTAGAAACAAACAAAATCAAGCTCTTCGATACTGACTGGAGAAAGAGAAGACATTACCAAAAAAGGAGTTTCTTTTAACCATAAATATTTGTCAACCCATGAAATTGGCTGGACTGTGAATGCCCGATGTAAATGATCCACATCATTTCCACTGCATCAAACATTCAGTGTCCCCCAGGGATGAACATGTTGTTTAGAATAAAGTGACCAGTCGGAGAAACGTTGCATTGACTCATATCAACACCTCCGTATGGTGGGTCAAATGTGACAGTTGCAAAAAGAGGATATTCTTAGCCTTCCAATGATATCCTTATTGTTGTTGTTCTTAAAATATTCAGTAAAATATGTCACAAAATGCAATGACTGTTACCAAGACAAGATTTTGAGGAAGATGCCTTTACATTTTGCTGATTTTTTTTTTTCATAGGTATTTAAAAAGGGAGGATCCAGGCTTAATACTATGGGGGCGTATATAGCACAGTAGCACCACCTGTTGTAATGCCTCACCAGTTAAGTTGCTCCGGTCGCCACTCGTCAACGTTGTATTAATCATCTGAATTTGGCAATACAATTTTAATATTCTAAAAGCAAAGACTTCATTTTTATTTTAAGGTTAGATAGAAACCCTGTCCTGTAATTAGAGCCTAACATCCATTATTTCGAGAGGCGTAGGGAGGAAGGGGGAGCAAGGTGATCAGACTGAGAGGAGAAGGTGAACTCTGAAGGGGACACCTTGTCTTTTACAGCTTCAGACATGCAATCATCGTCTGAACAAGACAAAAAAAGTTTTAAGCAATTTGTTTAAAATCAACGAAAACACAGAACGTTTTTTTTCATAAATCCACCTTTTATCTCGAGATGCGCCGTTGCGATCCGACTGATTCCGATAAAGCGGAACTCTTTGTGTCAATCACACGCAAAAGAAAATGGCAGCTTCAGTCATTTACTCAGAAAAAACACATGTTTATGTTCAAATCGCTAACCTTGTTATTGTTGTTCCTGAACCTACCTTTCCAAAGCCATATCAGAATAATTTTTTGCAGATGTGATTTTTAACAGAAGTATCGGACACATAATGTCACCCTGCGGAGAGTAGCGTCCAATCAGGAAACCCCTTTTAATATGTTTTTCTGATACAATGTTGTTGTTTGCTTGAAGATAGAATAGAAACGGTTGACTGTTGCCAAATTCTCTTCATCAAAGTTAGGGTTAGGGTTTTCCTTCTGTGATGTCCATTTCATAAACTCGATGAGACTGGCTCTGAACTGCTCCCTCCTCCAACCTCTTTGAAATGTTTCTCATAAAGCAATGAGAGCTACTAATAACTTAATTCAGATCCCATTAAGATTTAATCAAGGCTGGCGGAAGAGAAGATTTGACAAAATAACTGTGCCGAAAACTTGTATTCGTCTATTTCAGGCCTATTAGCAAAGGACCAATTATAAGATCATCAAGCTGAATTCTGAAGTAAAGCTTTGTTCTTGCTCATGTTCTGCATATGAGAAAATTAATCGCAGTTAAACGGACAAAATGTTAGCTTTTTTAATGAAACACCAAATGCACAATTTTAATTACACATGTCCTCAGTCAACAAAGTGCAAAACTGATAAAGAGAGAGGTAGATGAAAGTAAAGCGAGAAGGAGAGATGAAAGACACGGTCACAGATTATGGCATAGAGATGTTCTAAGGTACAAAGCAACGTTATCCAATGACATAAATAGGACAGTCTCAACACAATTTGCTGCCTTAAGTGTTGCACCGCTTCACTTTTGCTGTGATTAGCAGCTTGATGTCACAGCAGTTCATGCTATTCACCACCTCTGTCCTGCAAACAACTGGAAGCAGCCTGAGGGCAGATGGTGTTGTCCGTGTATATGTGTGTGTGTGTGTGTTTGTTGTATTTCTTTAACCTTTAAAGCTATTACTGCGTGTCAGTCCTTTACTCAACAAGGCATTTACCGGTGTAACAGGCAGCGAATCCAGCGAGCCGACCACTATCCACTATGTTATTAATTCCTAAAACTGTTATACGGATATTCATGGTACAGCCAGTTTGATATATCACATTTCAAGGTCAGCTCCCTTACATTGCAACCATGTTTGACTAACCTTTAGTGGTATCTAGACATGTTTAATTTGTCTTGGTTTTGAGATTTCTTTTTCGTGTGTGTCTCACAGGTTTACACTGATTTACGGTTAGCATAACACACCTAAACACACATCAACGTGCAGGTTTTATCAAGAAAGAAAAAGACCACTGGGACACTGCGGTAACTCCTGTGGTAGATTGCATGCATGCTGATAAAGCAGAAATGGCAGAATATATTTTCAAAGAAACAGTGTGCTAGTAAATAAACGTGGATGTAAACAATGTAGGATCTGGTTTGCAGATGGATTTTATAAGCCAATTTGTAAGGCTTCAAAAAGACAGTGTTTTTTGGGGGGACTTTAAAGTGGCATACTTCTTAAATCCGCATGAAAACAACTTCTTCCTGCAAACACTACTCCACTGCTGACTGCAGGACAGATATCTAATTATCAACTGATTAGTTTGGGTAAAATTATCCCCAGACACAGCAGGCAGAAAAAGACTATTATGAACAGTGTCAGACTGAATGATGAGGTGAAATTGAGACAGGACACTGATTTTGGAAATGATTAAATCCTCTGAGAACCATAACGACAATTGCATTCATCAAAATTAGAGAAACGTTATCTCAACACCAGGTCAAATGAATCCTCATGATTAGAAACCACTTGAGGCGAAGGAGACATTTAGTTGTTTTGGTTTACTAGGGTTAACTGACCCTTAAAACTTCCTTTGAATTATGAAAACTAGCTTGTCATCTAGCTTTGGAAATCCGTTGCACGTTTTTTTATACCCTCCTGCCTATAATAGCAATATCACAGTTCATAAGAAAATAAAAACACACATTATAAGGTAGGTTTAAGATGATCTGATTAATATACTATTTCATTCAAATCGCCTGTATGACTGCACGCATGAACAACTGCTGCTAAAGAACACATCATCACAGACTGCAGAAGATGATGGTGACAGTATCCTGCAAAGACGAGAATTGTCAGAATCTCCGATACAGTATTTTCCTTCTTTATCATTAAGAAAGACAGAGAAGCAAATAAACTCCTTACACTGATATGTCCTGCTGGGTTATGGTCTTGAGCCAATGTTAGACACGACTGTGACTTGCAGCTCAATCATTTATGGTATGACTTGTGTGTAATGACGCACTGCTTCAATTATATATGTTTAATGATAACCTGCTTCCCAGCCGGAGGCTATTAAAACATGGCTCTTCCCCCGGAGGCTTCTCTCGTTCCACCTGCCATCGTCAGCATGAGCTCATTGGTCGAAGCATTGATCCTAAAGCCCCTGTGCTTTGGTGGTACGAGGAGAATACTGCACAATGAAAGAAGTAGTGTGCAGACCAGATCAGTTTATTCACCATACAAACAGTGGCTTTTGCAAGGGATTAACCAACACGGTCTACTGCAGAATGAATCAGAAGTTGTGTGTGTTTTGCATCCTACAGGACGGACAAATCAATCATATTTCCCTGCTGATACTAGCCTTCAAAGGTTGGTCATAGTGGTTGTTTCATCCTCCCTTTCTTCGACTTGAAAGTAGGTTTGTGATGTTTTGCTTCTGTGATGCCCAGAAAAACCGAGAACGTCCCTGTCCATGGTAATGATGTCTTTGTTATCAGCTGACGGACCATATATTCTCTCACCCGAATGCCTCCTCAAAGGCAGGAAACCTATTTCCACAGACTCGATTCCCAAAGGTAATGATCCTGCGTTCTCATTCACGGAGTGTCTTCTTGTGGGCAGGAAGTCCGCTCTTTCTACAGAGAGATGTGGTATTTGGAGCTGACACGGGAACAAGGAGCTGTCACACACGGTGGGACTGGAGCGACACCAGTCTGAGATGCTGTGGTCAGATCCCGCTCGGCTGTCTGAACTGTCTCCGACCCTCTGCCCGAGCCCTTGGCCTCGAGCCAAGCTCAACATCCTTGGGATCGCAACAATGGATGCAGACGCCGCCACAGCAGCAGCGGCAATATGGCGGCGCTCAGCAGAAGTCCCTTTAGAGTCTGTGATCACCGTGGAAGGAGACGCCACCGCCGCTGAGCTGGAGAACGTGGAGGAGCCGAAGAAAGACGCCACTTTCTGGTAGTACCGCGTCCGCATCCCTTTGGCCGAGCGGTACAGATCCCCGATGAAACAGTAGCAGATGGGGTTCAGGCTGGAGTTTGTCAGGCCGAGCCACTGGGCAAACGGCCGCGTCTGCAGGAGCCAAGATGGTGGCTTTTGTTCGCAGTCGATCCAAAGGTCAGCCAAGTAGAGCGGCAGCCACGACACGGCGAATAACAGCACCAGACACACCACCATCTTGGCGATCTTCTGGCGCATCTTGAGGCGTGAGGCGTGCAGAGCTTTGCTGCGAGGATCCAGATCAGCGAACGTGGATTTTTTTCCTCCCCAAAGTCGCCTGCCAGTCAGGAAGCCTATAGTGAGGTTAAATGTCACAGGCAGACAGTAGAGCATCACGAACAGCAGCACGTTGTATCTGAGGAAGAAAAGTAAAAAAAAATGTAGGGAAAGCTCTTTAAAAACATAAATATTCATAAATGAAGTCGGTTCTCTCTATTTCTACTTATAAGATCTATCTGTATGTGGTAAAACACTTAAGGTGTAGTTATTTTCCGTTGCTGAATATGCTCTTCTCTACTGTTTAGAAATGCATGATGAGTCAAGAATATTTAATTCAACATCCTTCCTCTGAAGTTATGGATGGATCGCAGCTTAAACTCATTAGTGTTTTTGAAAGGAGCTCATTCATTGACATAACAATGAGCTCCTTTCAGAACCATGCATGTGCTTCTCTTTTCACCAACAAAATACAAGGTCAATATGACAGTATTGAAAACAACAGCATTGTCTTGAAACTCCCATAAGGTTCAAGGGTATCTGTGGATAATCAACACTATACCCACAGTTGCCAGCACACAGTTGCAAAGTGAGTGGCAGACAATGAAGCTGGAATGGCATATGAAGAAAAAGCTGAGTTCACACAATAGAGATGACTCATAATTAGGGAAAACAACACGGGAACATTCTGACAAAAGGTCTCTAAACCTGTTTTAATTCAAATAGCACTGAAAAGCAAAGAAAATTGGTTGTGGACCAAACTGATTACATATTGACATTAAGTTACTTTAAGTTGGAAAGACTAAAAACAGCTGACAGCCAAACTCCACGTATCACGTTTGTGATCCAAAAAACTATCACAGAAAACATCTACTTGATAAAAGTCTAATAGTATCCTCAAAACACCAAGGAACATATTGCTGGGTAAAAGTTGCATCTAGCTGAGTAAAGTCAAAATATCTTTGCTTTGGTTTCGATGAAGAAAAGGAATGAGAAAAAATATGTAATGCGACAGATCACTGATTTATTTTTACGGAGCAGCTCATCAGTGAGCACTCTCTTAGTGACAGCGGTCCTCAGATTCCACATGCTAAATTGGCCATTGAGAGAACTGCTGGACACACAAGAATTGCTAATGCTTGATGAAGTAACTTTAGCCAAGTAGCATCTAATGACTCACTGTAAACTGAGTGTGTCAGGCTGCATCATGGTTTGTAAGTACACAAAAGATCTAAAATTCGTTGGAGGCCAGAGCGGCTGAGATTAGATCACAGACTAGATTTGAGTCTGTTGGAGAACCTACCCTTGTTTAAGGCGATGCTGAGGCCACTTCTCCTCACAGACCAAGATGGCAAACGTCTCAAAGCTGATCTCCCGGCGCCGGTTCATCACGGCAATAGGAGCGCACATGATCGAAGACACCGTCCACACCACGGCGACGGTTGCCAAGATTCGACAGCGGGTAAACATGGAACGAGCTCTCAGTGGAGAGCGAACACTGTAGTAGCGATTCACGCTGATCACAGTTAGCGTTAACACACTAGCAGAGACCGAAACAGCCTGCGTGAAGGGCACCGCCCGGCAGAGCAGATCCCCGTAGACCCAGACCGAGTAGATCTGGCTCCCCAGGGTGATGGGCATGCAGACCAGCACCACAGCCAGGTCGCACACCGCCAGGTTCACCAGGAGGCTGCGCGTGGCGCTGACGCCCGCCAGCTGCCGGCTGCGCCTGTTGGTGAGGACGCGCAGGGACATCAAATTCCCAACAAATCCCAGAATGAAAGACAGGCAGTACATGACAGTCAGAGCGATGGTGCTGGGCTCGTGCAGAGTCCAGAGGAACATGCTCTCCAGATTAGCCAAGTCCTTCAAATAAAAGGTGGAGGACAAGGGATCATGGTCAAAAGTGGGCGTCTGTTGAGAGGATGAGAGTAAAGGGGTGAGGATTAAAGCGGGGTTGAGGAGAGAGGAGGGCAGCAGAGAGGGGAGAGGTGGATTGAGGGAGGCAGTGGGGGAATTTAAAGTGGAGGGAAGCATTATTGAGCTGTGGAAGCTGAAGGTGTGGTTGAGTACTTCCCGAGACTCGTCGTACTGCAGCAGCGGAGAGAAGCTGGGCTGGACTGAGCTCCAGTCTGTCGGCTGGACCCGGGACAGATCCATGCTGCCCTGCCCGTGGAGAAAAAGGTTTGAGAAGTATGAAAATCCCTCGTCTGTAAGGCTTACTGTAGTGGCTTCCCTTGGTCCTCATTCAAATCCATTCAGAGACACAGCAGAGGAGAACAAAATCCAAAAAGGCCTTATGTCAAAATAAATAAATACAGGTTCCAGTCATGTGGTACGCAGGTCCGTATGTTCTGTGAGGATAAACATATTTGTAAAAGGATGGAAATCATGGTCCCCCATCTTTTGTTGCATCCTATGAGTCAGCTGGAGTCGTGCAGTCTGCATGTAACATATGTACATTCAATCCTCCAGGGAGTGGCTGTCTGAACCAGATAGTCCCTCTCCAGTTGGTAATAGACTTCTCACCTTCAAGAAAACAAAGATCCCTTTCTCTCTTGTCGTCCTCCTCCTCGCACCTTTAGTCCTTCACAGGTCTGCAATCAGATCTGTTTAGAGAAAACATCACATCAATCAGAGGATGGTTTACACCCTTCAGCTGTATTAATATCTCTGTAGCAGCGCAGACAACAGATAACAACACATTCCTGGATAGAAAAACACTGAAAAGCTTTTAACATCTCCTCATAGTGTGTTTGTATCACATGCCTCTCCCAGTAGGTGGTAGAAAACACTCAGTAAGGGACAAAGTGAGAAAGGAAAGGATTGTATATTTTATAAGGGCACATGGTAAAGCAACTGGTTTGCAGCATTGAATTAATGTGAATTATTCATTGAATAAGCGCATCTAGCAGGATGTTAAGTCTCATTTTGCATATGGACAAAGAGAGCCAGCCAAGATAAAATGATTGCCATTAAAAGGAGGTTTAAGTACAACATGGCAGGACAGAAACTTAAATATGTCATGCTATATTATATTTTAAGTAAATTAAAGGGAAAGAGCTGCTTGTTAAAATGATGATCTTACCCTCAGAGAAAAGCAAATCCAGTTACTGTTTACTGCTCGATCCTCTTCAAAGCTGACAGCCTGGAGATGTTGAATAAAGCAGCCAGGTGCTGCCTGGGGATCTGCACCAAAAAGATTAATAAAAGTTGTTGCCCGTGAATCGCTCACAGCAGCAGATACACGCGCTGCTAATAATCCACCTCTGAGTCTCACAGCTACAGAGGGGTTTGTTGTCGGAAGAGCTCTTTGTGTTTCCGACAGCTTTTATTTTTCTCTAATGGGGTCCTCACATGTCTGCGCTCCTGCCAACGGGATCTCCGAGCCTCCGCAGGACTGAGATGGGAGAGGTGTAAAGTGAGGGAGGGAGGGAGGGAGGGAGGGAGGGAGGGAGGGAGGCAGGCAGCAGCTGCCACACACACACAAACACACACACACACACACACACACACACACACACACACACACACACACACACACACACACAAACACACACACATACACAGTCGCATACACACACAGTCAGTCGCATACGCACACACACACACACACACACACACACACACACACACACACACACACACACACACACACACACGGTCAGTCGCATACACACACACGCTCTGCCGCGCAGCTCCTTTGGCACTCTTTATAAACCTCTAATCAATCAAAAAAGTGTGTCACTCCGCAGGCTTCCCCCTATTTCTTCATGTTTCCGCTACAACATATTGTAATTGACGTTTTTCTCCTTTCTTGATGATCAGAAATAAGAGGATAAGTGGATTCCCTCTCCTCTGATTGATTATAGCAGACAAATAGCTTATTGATTGGTGCTTATTTCCCTGTCTTCTCTTTCACAACAACGACAAGTTATGACAACATCGATGGAGTATACAATATTATATCACAGTAGAAATATTCCTATCTGGTCTCAGTGAACACATCCCTTTATGAATAAATGATGGGGTAGGAAAATAAATGTTGTAGGAAAGACACAAACATGTGTATAAAAGTATGTTTTATGTATTGACAATGATATTTACTCACTGCAGCCTATAACTTTGCTTGAGTACGTGCTATTTCTTCATCGTTATACCTCGACATAACATCTCAGTATAACCTGCTGTCGGGGCCCCATAGGGCAAAGATGGTGCCTGGCCCCTATTGACTCACTTTAAATATGACACTTCATTATTTCCCAAGACACAGTCAGTGTCAGAGTCACAGAGAGGAGACTTACTCGATGCTGGAGTAATAGTCTTGCCCTATTTCTTTCTGTGTCTATGTTTATGTGTCTACTCAATGGCCGGGGCTTATTTATTGTGAAGGACATGTGGAATTATTTTTATTTTCTTCCACTTATGAAAAAATGCCCACCCGCATTTATGTCCTTCATAAGAGGTTCGGGTCAATCTGACCCGGATACAATACGAGGACAGACAGACAGAGAAAAACACACAGAAACACAGAAACTAAAGACACACACACACACACACACACACACACACACACACACACACACACACACACACACACACACACACCACACACACACACACACACACCACACACACCACACACACACACACACACACACACACACACACACACACACCACACACACACACACACACACACACACACACACCACACACCACACACACACACACACACCACACACACACACACACACACCACACACCACACCCACCACAACACACACACACACACACACACCACACACCCACACACACCCACACACACACACACACACACAATTGTATGCATAGAGAAGCTGTTTTGATCCTTTTCCCCTTGATCTTTACCCTTTGTAGTGTTGAACACAAAACTATCCTAGAACATTATAAACATTTTAGATCTTCCAGAAATGTATAAACATTTTACATTTTCTCGCACTGTCCCCCCTCGCACCTGCACGCCGGAGGAGGGACTAAACAGAGACATAACCTCAGTGTAGTAACAGTGTAGTGCAGAACTACAATTATCTACCAACAAAATGGCCAAAAGATATTCTGCTCAGAGCCTTGGAGCTAATAATGGATGAGAGTGAGTGGAATGCATTAGAGGAACACGGTGAAGTGGAACAGGAAGACATTTCTGAAGATGAGGATAATGTGGAGGTAAACTCAGAATTTGACAGCAAATTGGAAGATGAACTTGACTCAGAGCCAGCTGCTGGAAGACCCCCACAGCCAGCCGCAAGAAGACCCCCACAGTCAGCTGTGAGGTCTGTGGACCCTCAAAGGACTCCAAGACACAGACTACATGCAGCAACTGCAACAAGTACATCTGTGCTATACACACAAAGAAGTTCTGCACATCATGTGTTTCCTAAACGGACTTGCCCATTGATCACATGATGTTCTGCAGCGTCACTTCATCAATATGTTTTTCGGATATACTGTATTTTATGAATAGTGACTGTTAATTGTTTTTATTTGCTTTGTGTTTATATCTGTTCTATGTCATTTATATGGATGTTTCATTCTCTCTATATTTCACAGCCAAATACTTTTGGATGTGTGGTTCTTGTGTTCCAATTGCAGCTAAATTGCTTTATTTCCTTCAGGGCTTTGATTATTATATGACAGATTAAAAATAATAAACATTAATGAAAAAATGTTTCATTTACATTAATCAGAAAAGCATGAGAAAAATGTAAACCTAGTTTTTATTAGTGTATTTTTTTTTAACATAAATTACATTTTTATCACAAAAAACGATGGACACTTCCATTGTTACATTTGATCTAGCAAAGAGTATTTTCAAAAACTAATCATATATTTCATTTATATTGTTGGGGAATGAGTTAAAGACAATATATATAAAGAATTGTGCATGTTGAATTTAGTTCTGTATTTTTTTTAAACCCTTAAATATGTCCCGGGTCAATTTGACCCGAACATTACCAAAGGGTGCGAAATGTGAACATAACACAAGGGATAAAGCAATATATTAAACCCAACTTAATTGAGGAATATATGAGCAGAATATAAAGTGAAATAATAAAGATATTAAAGGTATATTTTGACTTCCGAAATACACAGGGAAAAGATGAAAAGATCAGTATTAAAAATTGAAAAAAGCTTGTCCTAGTTGGTATTGTACTGAAAAATAAAATGAATTTTTTTTATAACATACTATGTTTTAAAAAATACATTAAAACTAACTCAATCAAACTCACTCACCCATCAGCATGAAATGCTGCAATGGTAATTAGATGAATTAGTAAAAAATAAGTAAATATGTATTTATTTTATTCACTTCAGTGTATACTTCCAATTCAAACCAATGTAATTATAATATAGTATAACTTTTGTTTTTGGTACTTTCAGTTGATCTAATACTTTTGTACGTCCTCTTACATGCTAAATAATGAATTGCAGGACTTTGATATGTGTCAGGTATTGCTTGATTATAGTGTTTCTGTTTCTACATTAAAGGTCACCTATTGTGCAAAATCCACTTTTCCATGTCTTTTGTACATCAACATGTGTCCCCTCTGTGTTTAGAGATTCTGAAAGTTTCAGGAAAAAAGATTCTCTCACTTTTTGTTCTGATCCATTTATATAAAAACCTGTCTGAAAATGAGCTGATCAGATCTTGGCCACTTTATGATGTCATAACGATTTTTTTGGCTTGTGTAACCATTAGCCAATCAGCAACCAAGGTAACCCCCCCCCCCCCCCCCACCTTATCACCTGAATCTCCTCCTAGAGCACCATTGAGTTCTTTTTAACCAAATATCTCTCAGAGGGGCGTGGGGAGGGGCTCCTTATTTTCATCTAAAGTAACAGACAGAGAATCAGCACTTTAGAAACAGGGCTGAAACAGAGGGGATTATGGGATGCTGCAATGATTGGTATTTCGATGCCAAACACTTCAGGGACATGTTTGTATATATCTGAGAACTTTAATATATTGAGGAAAAACAGTATAATAGGTGACCTTTAAAATCACTGGGCTCTGCTTCTGTACATTGCATTCAAAACTCACCTCTTTGAAAGTCAACACACAGTTGGCACTCCTTATTCTCATAATAATCGAGTAAATGGATTACAAAATAAACCTCATTCAGAACCAGAAAGGTCTTTTAACAAAAGCTAGGGCTCCATTAGCTAACAATAGTCATGATGAAACACTTCCTATCTGAAGGGCAAGCAGTACAATGTGCTTCAAAAAAGTACACTGTAAGAAACGCACCGTGAAATTCACAGTATTTAACTGGCAGCAATTGACAAGTTACTTACTGTAGTTCATTTTACAGTAAGTAACTTGTCAATTGCTGCCAGTTAAATACTGTAAAGGTAATCACAGTATTTACAAGTTTTTATTTACAGTAACAGTGTAAAATGAAACACAGTAACTTCCAAGTACTGTATTTGTGTTTACGGTAATATTGTTTTAACTGTAAAATTAAACACCGTAAATAGCATTTACTTTATTTGGTATTACAGTAGTAGTATTATAGCTGTAAAATGAAACACAGTAACTTCCAAGTACTGTATTTGTGTTTACGGTAATAGTGTTTTAACTGTAAAATGAAACACAGTAATATTGAATTACTTTATTTTTTGTTACAGCAGTAGTGTTATAGCTGTAAAATAAAACAGTAATTTCCAAGCATTGTATTTTTGTTTATGGTAATAGAATTTTAACTATAAAATAAAACACTGCCATTTAAAAAGTACTGTATTTTTGTTTACGGTAATAGTGTTTCAATTGTAAAATAGAAACTTTAATGCTATAATTTTAAGTTACAGTATCAGTATTGTAAAACTATTTATTATAGTATATGTCATGCTGGTAATTTACAGATTACCAGAGATTCTTGACACAATTTTAAAGCTCACCAATAACTGCAGGGAGACAGCAAACAATACATTTTAACAATGTATTCTTAATTGTTGAATGATATCAAGACCATGTATTTTCTTATGCTAAATGATAAATATTTTCCTCCATAAAACAATCGATATTATAGGTGGGGTAGGTAAGTTTCAGAAACCGGCTCGAGATACACTTTCTGTTATATTCCATGGAATGCTCTTAACATCCCGATAGCAATGAATATCTTAAGTGCTTTGACAAAAAATCCATTAAAAAATGTCATCTGTGGAAGCCGTAGTACTGTAAAAAGTACAACCAATTGGATTGCCGCCCTGTCTGTCAGCCTTCCATCTCGTGCACGCACAAATGTATCTCGTGCCGTCATTGGGCGTGCATTGCAGCAGTACTTCAATGACTCGCCAGCAACAGGCGGCCACTTTCACCAGTCTGCTGACGTCATGTGCGC